CCCTGCCTTCCATCTTAGGATACTCTTGTTAGCATGAAGTGGGACCCAACAGGTCGTATTCTCATGACTTGTGCCAAAGAAGAAACTGTGAAACTCTGGGGGCTAATTTCAGGATGTTGGCGCTGTCTATATTCACTCTGTCATCCATCTATTGTAAATGGCATTGCTTGGTGCAGCCTTCCAGGAAAAGGATCCAAATTGCATTTACTGATGGCTATGTATGTATAAATTTTTATGTATAAATTTTCCTATTACTATATTATTTGTGTTAAATGTGACTTCTCAGCAGTCCTAAACTGTTTATTTGCAACTACTAGTCTTACCATTTCTCATACTATAAAATTACCTTATAGAGACAGCAATTTTTAAGTGTAAAACTTGGTATGTATGTAACCTGAATGTGATGTTAGAATATTAGGCTTAGTTGGATTCTTGTAAAAAATTACAGCATTATTAGAAATAAAATTTTAAAATATAGTATTCGGTCAGGTCTTAACTGATACATGAAAATATTTCTAATTTTGCATACTGACATGTTTTGGTTTTGTGATCAATTTTTTTTAAGTGGCTGTCAGAGTGGCTTAGTATGTGTTTGGCGTATTCCACAAGATGCCACACAGACCAGTGTGACTAGTTCAGAAGGATGGTGGGACGCAGAGTTAAATTGCCAGGTAAATACATTCAGATATTTTTGAAGATCTTATTTGAAGCCATAGATAATATATTCATTGAAATAATCCTCCCTTGATCACCAAGACACTCATTATTATATCCTACAGAGCAAGATCTACAAGGAAATGTGGACAATTGTCATACTTTATTACTAATAAAGTGCTTCTGAGCACTTTAATTTTATTTTAATAAAATAATTAATTTTATTTTAATAAGTCAGACCTATTAAGTAAGATATTCAGTAAAATTTAAGTGGTGGATAATTTATGGTCATGTATATAATTGACACTATAGATAGATAAGGTCTTAGTTAGGTTTTTGGTACAGTGAAGTAGGAAAACCCCTATATAAAGTTATTTTCTATCAACATAGAATTCCCCATATGAAGAACAATTTCTTTACCTTAAACATTTCCATGAATGAATTATAAATCTTGAATCTATAAATTATTTAAATTTCAGTATGTTAAAAATAAAAATTAATTGCAGGATGTATATAGGAAATCAGCCGGAGCCAAGTGTGTTTATCAGCTGCGAGGACACATCACCCCTGTCCGGACCGTTGCCTTTAGTTCAGATGGTTTGGCCCTGGTGTCTGGTGGACTAGGTGGGCTCATGAACATTTGGTCCTTAAGGGTAAGAGCTTGATGTACTTTTTACCTCAAGAAAATCTTCTTCATTAACATATATATTTATATGAAAAATTAACCCAACCAATCCTAGGGATATTTTATATCTGACATACTGAAAACTTTTCAGAAACATTTGCCAGTTAACTTTTTCATTGTTACAATTTTAAAGTCCTCTAGAAAATGCTTTAGAAAGTTGGGTCGTAGGTATACAATTGGACGTTGTCAAATTTAGCTGAAGTATAGACCTTAGAATATATTCTTGTGAAGGCCCTCCCTGGTGGCGCAGGGGTTAAGTCACAGTGCTATAGAGCTATAACCAGCCACTGCAGCATGAGTTCAATCCCTGGCTGACTCTCATGGCACAGCAGACCTGTCTGTCTCAGCCACTGCTCCGTTTGGCATTGTATTTCAGTCGAGCCACCTGTTCTGTTACCCATTCCATCCTGGTGAATCTTCTTACTCACTACACCTCTGGTCTATACCCCAGTTCATGTATGCATTAATTCGTTTTTTAAAATATCAGTCCTTTTTAAGGAAAAGAATGTGTTATTGTGAATGTTAAGTGTAAGTTTAATGTAAACAGTGACTAAGGTTAGGTAATGTGTTTTGATAACTATATCTCATTTTAGGATGGCTCTGTCTTACAAACTGTTGTGATAGGCTCTGGAGCTATTCAGACCACAGTATGGATTCCAGATGTTGGGGTAGCTGCTTGTTCAAATAGATCAAAGGTAATTATACAAAATCATAGAACGTAAACATGTAAAATATGTTAGGAATCATAGTCTAAGCATCCCACTTTATGGAGGAGGAAACTGATATCCAGAGGGATTACTATTTGCCAAAGATAATGCTACTCTTTACTGCCAGAAGGGAACCTAGAACCCAGATCTCCTCAATTTATAATCTACCATTCTTTCTCCTATATGCTAACCTTTGGTGGAAATGCTTAATTATTGAACAACTTCATTTCCATTGGATCTTATAAAGTGGATTTTTACTTTCTGCCATGGTTTTTGAGATAGCACTAAACTGTCTCAAAAGAATTTGCCCTGGGGAAAAAAAACCATCCTGAAGACATTTAACTCAAGTATACAAAACATATCTTGGCTTTCAATTTTAATATTCTAGTGAAAAATACTAGCTACCTTCTCTGAAGCAGTTCTGTGTTGTGAATTATGATATATCCCCTACCATATTGCTTTTCATTCCTTTATGAATAGAGTCAATGTGCTGCTTTGGTTTATGTTTTATATGGTTAAAAAATATTAAAATGAAAATGTAAACCTGCATGAATAGTCCTTCTAGCAGTAAAACTGCCAGACCCAGAGAGTAGTGACCTATGTATAATATAGTAGTGCGAGAGTTAGAATAATGCTACATCATTTGCAGTTGTGTTTCTCAGCAGACTACTACTTCTAGTATCCTTGTGATCATGTCATCCACCTGACAGTGCATTTTAAAATATACTAAATATTTTGTTCTTTCGGTCTTAACGTAATAGCAAATAACGATGTTTTTAAGAAATGTCAGCTAATTCAGGATAGTTCACAAGTTTTATGATTATTACTTAAACAATAGTTTTTTTTATAATAGTTTATTTTTACATCATTTTGTACCTTTTTCCATCTCAGCTGTAGTCCCCATGGGCTTTCCATCACCAGTTCACCTGTGTGCCATCACCATAGTCCTGTGCACTCCCCCTCACATTTTTAAAAATATTTTTTATTATTATAATAGTTTATTTTTACATCATTTTGTGCCTTTTTCCATTTCAGTTGTAATCCCTGTGGATTTTCCATCACTAATTCACCTGTGTTTCATCACCATAGTCCCATGAACTACCCCTCCCCCCCATTTTTTAATCCCATTCCCCACTCCATCCCCATAAAATGTCTCTGGTATATAGTTGTTTATCATTATCTTCATCATCATCATCATCATCATCATTTCCCCTGTCCTTTTTGCTCCTGCTGTGAGTGAAATCATCCAGTATTTTTCTTTCTGGCCTATTTCACTAAGCATGATCCCTTCCATCTCCATCCATGTTGCTGCAAAAGGCATGAGTTTATTTTTTTGATTGCTGAGTAATATTCCATTGTGTGTATGTACCACATTTTTTTAATCCAGTCATCTACTTTGGGGCATTTGGGTTGATTCTATGTCTTTCCAATTGTAAATAAGGTAGCAATAAGCATGGGGGTGCAGGTATCTTTTTGAATCAATGTTTTTGTGTCTTTTGGGGTATATAGCTAGGAGTGGGGTTGCTGGGTCATATGGAACCTCCATGTTTAGCAGTTTGAGAAACCTCCAAACAGTTTTCCATAGTGGTTGTACTAGTTTGTATTCCCACCAGCAGTGCAGGAGAGTTCCTTTTTCTCCACATGCTCACCAACATTTGTTGTTGCTAGTTATTTTAAGATGTGCCATTCTCACTAGTGTGAGGTAGTATCTCCTCATTGTGTAAACACTGGCTTTTATACACAGTTTAGGCTAACCTAATCCTAACTGTTCATAGGCATCAACATTCATGAAGTTCATTGACAAGGAAAGTACAACATAAGATGTCCATAAAACAAAAGTATTTAATGTACTTGCTGGAAGGAATTTCTCAGATATGAATGGTGGTAGGATTTTATCTTTTACTTATACAAATGCAGCATGTGACATGATTTATTTTTTATCAGGATGTTTTGGTCGTGAATTGTACAGCAGAATGGGCTGCTGCCAATCATGTTTTAGCAACCTGTAGGACGGCACTGAAACAGCAAGGTGTTCTGGGATTAAACATGGCTCCCTGCATGAGAGCATTTCTGGAGAGGCTACCCATGATGCTTCAGGAGCAGTATGCCTATGAAAAGGTAATTGATTACACTAATTCCTAGAGATCTACAGATGTAATTGGAATTACAGCTTTGAATTATCTCTTAACATAAGGTCTCAGGAAAATATGTGGGACTGTTTGGGCAGAATTAAACAAAGATAGTTCAGGCTTAAAACAGTTGTTCAGTAATCCCACGCCTCCTTTTAGTTAACTTTAGTGAGAGCAAAACTAAAAAAACCTCAAATTTGTTTATAGTGTTTATATCATTTTTCTTTAAATTATCAATTCACTCTAAAACTTCTTAAAATACCTGTCCCTGGGCCCTCCCTGGTGGTGCAACAAGTTAGGACGCAGCATTGCAAACAAGATACAACCACTTCAGTGCAAGTTTGATCCCCGGCCCCGCAGCTGACCCACATGGCGAGGCAGAACTCTCCTGTCTCACTGTTGCTCCCTTCAGCAGTGTATTTTGTTGATCTTCCTGTTCTGTTGCCCACTCTGTTTCTGGTGAATCCTCTTACTGCCCCTTCATCTCTGACCTGTACCCCAGTTCTGTCTGAATCAGTCATTCATAAATATACACACACACACACACACACACACACACACACACCCCTATGCCTCAGAATAAAAGCAGATTGATATAAAGTATTTGCCACAGACTTTTCAGCATAATTTTGAATATAATATCCTTGTATTTTCTCTTAGCCTCATGTGGTTTGTGGTGACCAGCTTGTCCACAGCCCATATATGCAATGTTTGGCTTCTCTTGCTGTGGGACTTCATCTAGATCAGTTATTGTGTAACCCACCAGTGCCACCACACCACCAAAACTGTCTCCCTGATCCTGCATCCTGGAATCCAAATGAGTGGGCCTGGTTAGAATGTTTCTCAACCACTATAAAAGCTGCTGAAGCACTAACTAATGGAGCACAGTTTCCAGAATCTTTTACTGTTCCTGATCTAGAACCTGTTCCAGAGGATGAACTTGTATTCCTAATGGTGAGTATAATATAAGCTGCTATTATTTGCAACTGAGGTTGCTACAAATGGGTGTTAGATATTAGATACTCAATAAGTATTTGCCTTCTTGACTAGCTTGAAGCATAAATCTTGAAACACAAATAATGTGAACTGTAAATCTGTATGTCCAAAACTACATATCAAGTTTATAGGAGTGATGACTCCTGCATAATACTTGTAGGTACTCGTAAGACAGTGATTGCCTTCGAATCACCAAACAATAGTGATATTTGAAAGTGAAAGTGTTTGAACAATAGGAAATAATAACTGCACAAAGAACAGTTTGAGACTATTGTAAAACTCTTAGTATCTCATAACATTAGCAGGTTCTTAGTTGAAAATAAAAGTTAGTTGTTAAAGAGTTATTCAAAAACAAGTAAATGATTATTAAGCAAGATTGATTCTGATGTTTTCCCTGTCTTGCAGGATAACAGTAAATGGATTAATGGCATGGATGAACAAATTATGTCCTGGGCAACTTCTAGACCCGAGGTCAGTTAAGATAGAGATTGCTATATGGTTGTTCTCAATAAATCTTCTGATTCTAAATGCTCGTGTATTTGTGCCCTGGTGTCTCCTATAGAGGCTGTTATGCATTTGGTACCAAATGTATGGTTGTGTGAATAATTGGATGACTCTTATTTTGAGATGATTGTGGTTTTCTAGGACTGGCATCTGGGAGGTAAATGTGATGTCTACCTGTGGGGTGCTGGCAGGCATGGACAGCTGGCAGAAGCTGGAAGAAATGTGATGGTGCCTGCAGCAGCTCCGTCATTCTCTCAGGCTCAACAGGTAACTAACAGGGTAAAGGAGTGGAGAAGAAACTTGGGAACTGACAATTTTGATTCCCTTATTGTCTGTTACTGTGGGATAAAGTTTGTCCATTTCGTAGTTTCATGAGGAGTCACTAAAGAAAATGATAGGAAACTTCCAAATAAAATATTTCTAACATTTTTATCATACTCAAGTTTTTGTCATTAAGTTTCTAAATTTTACATTTTTAAGTGGAATTAATTAATATCATGATGCAGTAGGCCTACCCATTGCATATTTATAGAAGTCCAGATATTCGTAATTGCTGGTTTTATTCTTTAGCGCAATAAATTTAGCCAGATTTCATTGACACCCCTCCCACCCTCCAATAATCTTGAGGATACTGCTTTTTTTGTTTTTTTTCTACCTCATTAAGTCCCACAATGCCCTGCTCTTTCTCATATATATCCTCTTAAGAGTTTTTGCAGACCTTCAGCTAGTCTTTAATATTTCTTTATATCATCCTTTCCTCTTCTGTCTGTTTTGTTGTTAATATTATTAAACTCTGCACAGTTGGCTGAAATCCCTAGAGATAAGATGGCGCTAAACTATTATACCTTAAATAGTCAGACGTGCTTACACATCTTTTGGTTAAGTAAGCCATTTTATAATAATCAAGGACTTCTAGGAGCACCATAGTTACATTAGGTATGCATATAATCATTTTAAGTGTTTGCATATTAACACTGTATAATAAAGAATACTATATTTAATTGTGTGTTTTTATACTAGGTCATATGTGGTCAGAATTGTACCTTTGTCATCCAGGCCAATGGCACAGTATTAGCTTGTGGAGAAGGAAGTTATGGCAGATTGGGACAAGGAAATTCAGATGACCTTCATGTGCTGACAGTTATTTCAGCCTTACAAGGTAAAATTATCCTCAGTTAAAAGCTGCTCAGAAACTGTGAACTGACTGTAGAAATGTTTGCTTTTGTTGGAATTCATCTCAGCCCTTTGTCAGTTGAAGTTTTATATATATATTTAGATTCTTATTTAGGCACGTATAACTTTGTTTACGTATTTTTAGGCTATATAATTTGCAAGTTATTTACCTTAGCAGTATAGAATTCAGTGATAGAAATAACTGTTTTAAGATTCAATGAAGATAGTAAAAAAAATTCTTTAAAATTGCAAAACTGTAATTAAGCAACTACTAGTAACAATAATAACCAGGTAAATTTTTCATTGAAATTAAAAATAATTTCATATGGAAACATGCAAATGTACAAAAGATTTTAAAGGGCATCTCTGATGTCAGAATTCTCTGATGCGAAAAATGAGTACCTCAGCAGAAACTACTATAGGAGCCCCTGGCTTATTCCTTAAGTAAATTTTTACTTTCATACCTACAAAGAAAGCAAAGATAAATTTTTAAGTAAAAGCTTAAAAGTGACAGTGGGGGCCCTCCCTGGTGATCCCCGGCCAGGGAGGTGACCCACATGGTGTGGCAGACCTCTCCTGACCCACCCGCTGCTCTTCTCAGCAGTGTATTTCAGTGCATCTGCCTATTTTGCTCCCTCCTCTGTCTCTGGTGAATCCTCTCACACCCCACACCTCTAGCCTGTGCCCCAGTTCTGTATGCATAAATAAATAAATTTTTTTAAAAAAATGACAGTGGATTCAAAACCAGTTCCTAAGTAGCTCTAAGTGATCTTTCTTGATAGTTAGCTGTGAAGAACAGAGTAGAGATGGGAGGGTTGGGTTCTCATCCAGCTCTACCACATCCTGCATCTGGAATGTTGCATAAGTTACCAGACCTCTTTGTGGCCATTTTCCCCAGCTGTAAGAGTATCTCCTTCATAGATTCTGTATAAAAGTAGAAAATAAGGGCCCTCCCTGGTGGCGCAGCGGGTTAAAGCACAGCACTGAGAATCTAAAGCTGCTTCCATATGAGTTCGATTCCCGCCTGCCCCGGAGGTGACCACATGGTGTGGCAGACCTCTCCTGACCCGCCCGCTGCTCCCCTCAGCAGTGTACTTCATCAGTCCCCCTGCTCTGTTCCCCACTCTGTCTCTGGTGAAGCCTCTCACCACCCCTGAGCCTCTAGCCTGTACCCCAGTTCTGTATGCACAAATAAATAAATCTTTAAAAAAAAAAATAGAAAATAAGTCTGGTGAAGCATTTACAGGATTGACTGGATCATAATCTTTAACTGAGCACATCACCCTCTTCCTTATCATCATTATTTTATGTGACATGATTTACTAAGTTTGGGCTATAAAATTTAGTTTAAAATTAAATGACTCTTTATTTTTATAGTGCCATTTTGATATTTTTCAATTCTTAGAGTATTCTATTGCAGCTTCAAGTAGAAAAGGGAGTTTTAGCATCCAGTGACTCTTGTTGGGTTTCTGCTCTGTTCCAGGCTTTGTGGTGACCCAGCTGGTGACTTCCTGTGGTTCTGATGGGCACTCAATGGCCCTAACTGAAAGTGGTGAGGTCTTTAGCTGGGGAGATGGTGATTATGGCAAACTCGGCCATGGGAACAGCGACAGGCAACGGCGGCCCAGGCAAATTGAGGCCTTACAAGGAGAAGAAGTGGTGCAGGTCAGGCAGGATATGGATAAGTTTGCCTTTAAATACAAACATACTAGTTGTTGAATAGGTTTCTTAAATTTAGGTAATAGGAAATATTGGTAAAAATACATAATCATTTTAAAAGATTTTGCATCTTTAGCTATTCACATTCAGTTTTTGAGCTTTTCACTTATTGGGCTTTAGTGGTAGAATTGATTCCTTTTTCCTGAACCAGCTGGTTGACCTAGTCGAGGGTGCTGTTACTCTTTGAAGAAATGCTGTGGGGTTTAACTACTGCCACACAGTTCTTGATACACTAATAAATGGAAAGCTTTTTTTTAGCCTATCATTATTGTTACAGAGGCTGAGTTCATATACATTTACTGGAAAATCAATCAATGAACTAAAATAATATTGCAAAAGTATATAGTACCTTAGAGTTTACAAAGAATTTTCCTCATTCTCTCACATCATAGTCTAGGTCTTCTATATATAGAAATTATTCCAGGGTATGCTGTTTGACTTGTTCTTCCTGAGGATGATAAGGTAGATAAGACCTGGGGAAATAGGAAGAAAAGTTGAACAGATAGGATCTAAGTCCTGAGCTGTTCTTTAATGTTTATTACTACATTTTAACCAATGATAGGAAACTTCCAAATAAAATATTTCTAACATTTTTATCATACTCAAGTTTTTGTCATTAAGTTTCTAAATTTTACATTTTTAAGTGGAA